ATCGCTAGCTAGCGAGCCCGCGCTTGCTTCCAGCTGTTTTTCAGAGTACCAGTGGGATGGATTCGTTCAATAATTGGGCCATTAGACAGCACAGCTCGTGCGCAAAGGCTGCAATGTCGCGGGCCACGTCCACCAGCCCGGCGACACTCTTTTACCGGTGGGGGGGGGGGGGGTCCGTTGACAAACCCGTTCTTTGATTTAGCCGCTTGGCTTCGTCTCTTCGCGAATGGAGCGGTAGAATTCGGAGGCGTAGAGGGCCCGTACTCTATTTGAACATATGGTTTTTAAAAGGATGGTTAACAATAACAGGATGGTTTTTAGGTGAGTATTTCCACTTGGGTGGAGCGTCATTCTCAATAGTGCTGGACAAAAACATGATCACGATTGTAGTAAAACAAAAATGGCACTATTTACCCTTTACTGCCCCAGTCTTCCGAAAACAGGCCAGTTTTTGACCGACTTTTTTCTGCCTTGGCAGAATTGGCTGAAAATTTGTTCTCAGGGGTAGTCTGACCTCCTGAACACGAATATCACATCCGCTCGGCCTGAAACCTCCTGCCGCCCGCGCTACAGGTGCTGGCGCCAAAATACCCCAGATCACCGGCGCGGGCGCCAGGAGGTTTCGGGCTGAGCGAATGTCATACGTATTCAGGAGGTCAAAATACCCCAGGAGACAACATTTGAGCCAAATCTGTCCACGGAGAAAAAAGTCGGTCAGAAACTGGCTCAATTCTGGATGGTTGGGGCAGTAAAGGGTAAATAGTGCCCAAAAATATCCCCCCAGAAACGCAAACGCCGTCACAAACGAATCGAGCGGCCAGCCCTTTCCATCATTATGGAGTGTAACCCTCATCACATCATATTCCTCTGACGCGAAAGCGACTGCGCTTGCACCGCACCCATTGAAGCGGGTATTAGCATGATGCCAGCGGAAAACTCGTCATAATCAGCTGTCTCTAACGCTTACTCTTCCACCCGAGCCAAACAGGGCTTTCCTATCCTTTCACTTAGCTTTTTCTTCTTTTCCTCACTATTAAGCAGCTCTGCTGCTATTTTAATCCGGCAAATGAATTATGGTGCCAATCCACTCAACTGAAGATAGTTTCCTCCAAAACTGCCAGCCGGCCAGGTGTTTCTCTGCAACAACGTTTCAAAGAAAAGCACATTGCTCCGAATAATTTTCGTTGTGAACGATAGCACCATGCTCGGGCTGTGCTGCTCTGAGTGTTGAAATATTTATTTGTTACAAATATGTTCTTCACAAAGTAGAAAATGTATGGTAGTTTCTATGACAAGACAGTCGTAATAGGCGACGATATGGGCGAGCGACGTCACTCCTAACGTGCGAGTTGTCCTGCTTGGAACTCTGACGCTGAGTATTAAAGAGACAGTAAAGCTTCAAATCGCGTGTCATGGAGTCAAATCGTATGGTTAGATTGGAATCATATGAGTTTCGTTGCTCCAGCTGCCAAACAGTGCGAATCGAGAATTCATGTGATTCACGCCGCACCGCATAATGCGCCGCGCGCATGATGAGGAAAATTACGAATGTTTTGTCAAACTCCTATTCTTGCGTATCTCTGTACAGTATACATAAATACAGAATTCAGTTTTCAACAGAGAAATAAGGAATTGACAAAAAAGAAATCAAAAATTGGCAACAAAGAAATCAAAAAATGATAACAAGGAAATCAAAAATCTTCACAAAAAACAAGAAAAACAGGCAAAAAGTTGATAGAGTAGACGGTTAGGCGAGAAAAGGGCGGTTAAATGAAGGAGTCTTACAGACACATTCCGCGATTACTTATGGGTGGATCTTCCCTTGCACAGATATTGCAAGGCCCCAATCACTGGAATCCTTCCATTTCGGCCACTCCGCAATGAAAGATGCGCGCGCTAGCGCCATCGTAAGTTGGGGCCAAGCCGCTCGCGAAAACTGTCTTAGCAATGTGATAGATGGGATGTCCTAGTGACACTATACCTTTCAATAAGTGGCGCCTAATATTCGTTCCATGTGGCATTGACCCTTGCAGTCGTCTTTCTGTTCTTCCTCCTTCGTCTTCTCGCCGCACAGCAGTGCCTCTCTTCTTCGAATACTGGTCCGATTCTTGGGCTTTGCTCACAGCATTTCTGACAGTCTTGTACACTCTGTTCTGGCCTGATAGACCAGTTAACAAATAACGACTGAGGATTCACATTTAGGCTCGAAAATACCACGAATTGTCACCGAGGAATATGTCTTTAACTAAGAAATAACCTGATTCTTCTGGAACACATTTCTCTGTATCAATAATAAATCTGGGATTCTATGAATACACTGTATGAACAAAGAAACATTTGAATAATATGCTGAAGAGACATGATCTATCGGTAATACCGGTATTTACAAGGGTCCAAGGGAATTCTCGTAGTGGCAAGCTATCCACTAACACTCTCAGTCACTGCCTTCACAATCGAGCTGCAAAATAGTGTTATTTGAACACAAGAATCATTTGAATAAGCAGAATACTAACCGTAGCACTTCAAAATCCGCTCGTAGCTGTTTCTCAATTGTCACCTTCAATTCGTGAATCATAAAAGCGTCGTTGTTAAGTTGGTCGTGGAAATCATATCCAATGATGATGGCGGCTTTAACAAAATGTCTTTCATTGCAGGGCTCATGAAAAAATGCATTGTTAAAGCCTCCATCATCATCGGATATGATTTCCACGATCAACTTAACAACGACGCTTTTATGATTCACGAATTGAAGGTGACAATCGAGAAACAGCTACGGGCGGATTTTGAAGTGCTACGGTTAGCTCTGAACTATTTCTGCTTTTCTAATCA